CGCCGCGGCGGCTGCGGCTGCGGCCACGCTCTGCATATTGGCCGTGGCCGGGACGTTCTGCACGTCAGGATAGTGTTGGGGCGGTAGACCGTCCAGGGTCGCGTAACCGCCAAACTCGCTTTTTATACCACAGTTGTTGAGCAGATAAGACGCACCGTGGTGCTGTTGGTGGTGATGGTGCACGTCCTGGTGCACGACGTGTTGCACCACTGCCGGCGCGTAGTAAGAGTTGTACTGTTGTTGCTGTTGCTGCTGCTGGAGATGGTGATGGTGTTGTTGTTGTTGTTGTTGTTGTTGTTGTTGTTGCTGTTGCTGTTGGTGCTGCGATTGTTGTATGCCGGCAAACATAATGTTGTGTTGTTGCTGCTGTTGCTGATAGTTGTGATTGTTGTCTGGCTGTTGGGCCATGTACTTTAAGTACCGATCGAGTTCGGAGCTGGCTCCGGCAGACGACGACGCGTCAACCGCGATGTCGGACTGCTGAGATCTGGGCCGCTGAAGGTTGGCCAACAACATTTCTGATGGCGATTGGTGATGGTCGAAGTTCATATCGATGATTTCACCACCACCGCCTCGTCCCGTGCCACCACCGCCTCCGTGGAAGTCGTTGCCCGTCGACTGTTGTCTGTGCTGTTGTAAGCCTTGCAAGTTGTGGTGGTGGTCTTCTTGCTGCTGCTGCTGCTGCTGCTGCTGCAATATACTTCCGGCGGCTATAAAACGAGACATGAAAAATATGAGAAATACTGATAAGTACAATTGACGGAAAATCTGGCACAACAAATGTTTAGACTCCGCAAGCAGTTCGTGCACACTTACCGTGGTATCCATCAGATGGAGATCTGCCGGCCGTGATGGTCGCGGCCGACGAAAGGCCACTCGTATAAACGGCAGTGCCAGCGACGTGAAGTCCGCTTGTCGAATAGAACGGCCTGTTGGCGTAATGCGGCTGCTGCTGCTGCTGTTGTTGTTGTTGTTGTTGTTGTTGTTGTTGTTGCTGTTGTTGGTGGTGTTGTGAGTTGGGTCCTAGAACCTGCTGATCTTGAGATGTGGCTATCGGAGGGTAAAACGTACCGGTCACGATGTTGTTGTGCTCGTACGCCAATCGCTGATTGGTGCACATCATCACCATGCCCTTGGCCACACCCATGGCTGCTATTGAACCGGGAGCCGGTTGATAAGACGACGTCTGAATGTTGTTGTTGAATTGCCGGTGGTGATTGTTATTGWTGTTCAGCTGTTTYTGTCCACCACCGCCMCCGTAATAGCCGCCAAAGTCGTCGATTTCGTACTTGACGACGTCGGTCCGATGATACGGGTGGTGCAAGTGTTGGTGGCCGTGGTGTTGATGGTGAAGCGAGTGGTGGTGCGGGTCTTTGCCTGCGCCCGTGGCCGGTTCCATGGGCGACAGCTCGGGCGTGGGAAGCGTGGGCGTCTTGCTGGCCGATCGCTGCTGCAGCAGTCCACCGTCTGGGGCCTGTCCGCCGCCGCTGCCCGTCTCGTCGATGGCCGCGGCCGGGCAGGTGGGTTTATCCGGGTCGGGGCTGCACGTGGGCGAAGACTCGGGAGTGATGACCTCGGACACGCGGACAGGCGAATACGGGCTCTCGCTGTTTGGGTAGTACGGCGACGTCGTCTTGGATGGGCTGTACGGCTGGTACGCGTACGGCTGCTGCTGGTGGATGGCCGGTGACGAGTACGACGACGAGCTCTGGTACGGCGAGCTGGACGGGTATTGGACCAATTTGACTTGGCCCGCTGAGTTGGGGCGCCGGGACGTGGGCGAGTGTCCGGAGCCACCCTGCGCCACCGCCGCTGACACACCGACCACGGAAGTCGGCGAGCCCGCCCGCTGCTTGTTGTGCTTCCTGCGTCGGGGCCTGTACTTGTAGTTGGGGTGTTCTTGCATGTGGATCACTCTCAACCGTTCAGCTTCCTCCACGTATGGCCGACGGTCCTGTGGCGTCAGACTTCGCCATTTTTTCCCTGAAACATATGCGTCAAGTCACGTTATAGAGATCGTTTACTTTCAAAACGTAAAATAAACTAATAATAATAATAATAATTTAACTATCTTAAAAATAACTTTTCTACCAGGGAGTCGGGAGTGAGTATAGGCTAAAGTTAAAAAAAATGTTATCCTTTCGATTTTATTTAATCGTCAACTGCAAGTTAACACGAAGTAATAATGAATATATCGAGTATCCCACACGGTCCCGCTAAATACACACGATGATGATGAATACTTATAAACATATTGTGTGAGTAAAAACCACATATAGGTGACGCATATTATAATATTATAGTTCAGTTATCATTGCGTTTCCCATCGATCGGATACGACTTCGACAAATTGGCCGCTCGATCGTTAACGATATTATTTTACTACTTCCAAACGTATGTTGTTCAAACCGTGAGCAGCGGACGGCAGCTTAATACAGGGCCGAGGTAAGGCTTCACGAGTTCCGTACACAAATATTATATCATACGCAGACGTTATGGACGTTATTTTCGACAAATCTTGTTAGAAAGTGGGGTGAAATGTATTCAGTATTATAAGGGGCTCGTTGGATTTATTTTTATTTTTATTACGGCGCTTAGCACCCTAATATTGCACCCACCATTCCTATATTTGAGACACTGGCTGTCATTAGAGTACGGATCGAAAATGATGGGAAAAAAACTCCATCTCGAATAAATCTCAAAGGTCATTGTGATAATCGTCTTATCGGAGAAATCAGATCCGGAGCGGCGGTATTAGACTGATGGATAGCTGCTGCTATAGAGTGCTGCTGCTGGGTTGCGACGCAGACGATAATATTATAATATTAATATTACGATCAAGACGGTAGTCCGGTCTAGGCAGGCGCACCACTCGTTTATTATCATTGTGTGACCACCTCCACTTTAATCGACTGCCGATCGTAAAACTAAATCCAGAAGCACCGGACGGATTACCTATACGTATATCATTATCGTCGGTGATATCTATCGTCATCCCGCCGCGACACCGGTCTGCTGCAGTCTCAACGCGCGTTTATCATAATAAAATAATAATATATAGCAACAATAATACGATTAGGTATCGTACGCGACCGATGTCACGAGCGAGTGTGATGAAGAGCGACAAAAACAGAATAACTCGGTCGAGGGGATCGGTTTAAGCGCATAGCATATTGGTATTAAATGTACATTGTATAATATCATATTATTGTGTACAAGGCGCGTATAATATAATAATATTATATTCGTTCAACAAGGTATACTACTGCAGTCTCCGGTGGCGTGTGGGACTCGGAGGGGCTAGAATAGTGTCGGTGTATAGTGTCTCCCGCGATGTTGTCTCGCGCTCTCGTGGTAAGACGATTTCGTGGGCGTCCCGATTGAAAGGCACTAGCAGGTGACATATGTATGTAATACAATAACCATTTTATTCTAAAATTGTTTTATGCATTCTCTTATGCAGGTCAAACAGGTAACTGTTTTTACTGTATCATTCCGAATTATGTGAAAATATTATTTAAATGTATTTTTGTTCACAGGAAGTTAAAAAATTTTTTTAAATATATATTTTACAGGAAATTGCTTTGATTATTTCTACATACATTCCTATAAATCTTTGAATATGATTCTTGAAAAATACATTAATGTGTATTAAACACTTGTGTGCACTTAACCATCTATATCATTATGATTTATGAGACGGAAAGATCTGCATAATATAAGTTACTTAGGTTTAACGCTAATTAAACTGAAATACAAGTAAAATAAAACGGTGCGATTAAGTAATACCTTTAGAATAGTAAACAATAAGATAAAATGTATGTAACAATTAATTAAAGTGTATTCTGGTCGACCGATTTGTATATAATTATATTATAATATAGCTAGGTATGACGTATATCATCATGTATACCATACAGAACGCCTCGTGAAAAATAATTCACCTAGAAACGACAATCGAGATTTCAATAAATAATCCTATCGAAGTTTAATTGCTTTTCGTTTTTAATGCCGCAAAGAGATTATAAAATAAAAAACCTTAATAAAAAAAAACCACGGGGGACCGATCCCTTATGAACTCGCGCCGCTTTCATCGGAGCGCATGACGCGTATTAAACCGTCGTATGATGAGAGCCTCCCGATAATTATCACACACGGTATAACTGACAAAGATTTCGAAATGAGTTTTCATTTTTTTTTTTTTTTTTTTTTTTTTCTTAATGAGATACCTATACTTATA